CCCCAAGACGGCGCCCAAGACGGACGAGGAACCGGAAATTCGCGCCTTTTTGGCCCAAGAGACCCGCAGGAGACCCCAAGAGGCTCCAATAAGGGGCCCAAAAATCCCCAAAGGCCCAATGAGACCCGAAAAAACATCAAAAGAGGCCCCGAAGACGCCCCAAGGCACCCCAATAGAGCCCCAAATGAACACAAATATTTGATTTCCTATGGGAAACTGATATTTCCCTAACAGCGAAGACTGATAGGTTTCTAATGGGGTCAAAAGAGAGCATCTGATGACTCCCCAGGGGGGTCTGGGCGGGAGCCGGACAGGCGAGGGCCGGGCTCGTTTTAAGCAAAAAGTCACACACTTCGTGCTCTTCGACCTCCCAGAACTCCATTCCCGGGCCACATTTCGAATGCCCGGAGCCAACTGTAGGCCACTTCGTGCTCTTCGACTTCCCAGAACTCCATTCCCGGGCCACATTTTGGATGCCCGGAGTAGGCCACTTCGTAAGCCACTTCGTGCTCTTGGACTACCCAGAACACCATTCCCGGGCCACATTTTGAATGCCCGGAGCCAACTGTAGGCCACTTCGTGCTCTTCCATTTCCCAGAACTCCACTCCCGGGCCACATTTTGAATGCCCGGAGCCAACTGTACGCCACTTCGTGCTCTTCCACTTCCCAGACTTCCAAGACTCATCATCTTCATCATCATCATCGTCCCCGTAGCCTTCTTGGCTACAGCCCTGCTTTCGAAGATTTCCTTTCAAAGGAACTGCGCAGCGCCTATTGCACACCTTAATGCCAGGACATGCTGATAGTTCTCGGTCTGGCGGCGGTGCTCCTGACCCTGCTGCATTGGACAGCGGTGCTCCTCAGTCTGCGGCAGGGAACAGCGCTGCTCCTCAGCGTGCTGCATTGAGCGGTCCTCTGTAAACGCTCGTCGAGCACGTGAAGCAGTTCGGCCGGATACCGAAGCGAAATAAAGGAACGTCCGAACAAGAGCGGGCCGAAAACAACTTGGCCAAACGTTGCTCGGACCATCGCGACCGCATCCCCAAAGACATTTTGCATGAACTGCGGGCCTTGGGCTGTGCTGATCAGCAGACGGAGACCGAGGAGCTCAAGCGGAAGCAGAAGACCGAGGAGCTCATGCAGCAAAAGCGAGACAAGACCGAAGAGCTCATGCAGCAAGTGCGAGACATCGGCCGCCACCCGAAGGAGTATGCCGGGCGTAGCCTCGCAGATCTCATTTGGAAATACCGTTATCGAAAGCAGTGTTTCTACTGCTACTACCACTGCTCCCATCACTCCTACTCGTTCACTCCACACACTACAACTACTACTTCACTGTTACCACTACTACCGTCTCTACTACTTCTACTGCTACTACTACTGTTACTATTACTGCTGCTGCTGCTGCTGTTGCTGCTGCTAGTGTAACTATTGCTACTGCAACTACTGGCAGTGCCACTGCGACTGCCGCTGATGTTGCCGCTGCGACTGCCACTGCGAATCCGAGTGCGACTGCGAGAACACCAATTCTACAACGACGCTCTTACATGAACGCCACAGGCAATGTTTCCAGCTATGCTTCTACACATCGCTGTTAGGTCGCTTCGCCGGGATAATTTTGGTGTGTTTGCCTTTTGGGCGTCCACTGCGTCCAAGATGGCCCAAGAGGCACCCGAGCCGGTCGAGGATGCCCCCAAGAGGACCCCAAGACGGCCCACGAGGGGGCCAAGACGGCCCGCGAGGCGCCCAAACCGCCCAAGAGGGCCCCAAGACGGCGCCCAAGACGGGGACGAGGAACCGGAAATTCGCGCCTTTTTGGCCCAAGAGGCCCCCAGGAAACCGCAAGAGGCTCCAAGAAGGGGCCCAGTATCTCTAAGAGGCAGCCCGTAGAGCCCCCCGCGGCCCCTGGTGCCGCACCTCCCCGTGGAATCTCGGGAACGCTCCCGGTGCCGCTCCCCCGGGGTTTCAGGGGGCTCTCCACAGCGCTCCAGGAGAGCCCGAGGCCTCCCAGGAACCCCCAGAATGCGAACGGATGGTCCAAAACGCTCCCAAGCAGCCCAAGTCAGCCTTCGACGGCTCTCGAGACTCCCAGGTAACCTCCAAGAGACCCCAAGAGAGGTCCGAGAGGTGTCCCGGGACGGCCCGAAGAGGCCAAAATTGTGGATTTTCATGGTTTTTCCAAGTGTTTTTGGCTTCTCGCGTTTTCGAGCTTCCAACGGTCCAAAAGCGCCGACGAGGCTCCCAAGACCGCCCCAAGACCACCCAAGAGACCCTCAGGACGGCCCCGAAACGGGCCAAAAAGGCTCCAAGACTGCCGAAGAGGCGCCCAGGACAGCCCCAGACCACCCCAGAACAGGCCCAAGATGGGGCCAGGAGCGGGAGCAGGAGGCTTCCAGAGACTTCCGAAAGGGCTCCGGGACCACCCAGAGGCTCCCAACAAACACACCCCCGATCCCTGAGAGGCCCCAGAAAAACCCCGACGAGGCTCCAAGAACAGCC